ACGTGACGAAATACCCTCAAAGTCCTATGGATGCTTTTCATTTTATCAAATTTTATGTACAGACAAAAAAATTATGATATGTAAATATAGAAGTGATTAAATAAACCAGAAATGATGAATCTGGTGACAAAATATGATATATAAATATAGAAGTTATAATTGAAGCACTCAACAAAAGCAAGTCACAAAGCCAAGCCAACAAAGAAGGCTTGAAACCAAAAGTAATGCACAAAGTTTATCTCGAAAGCTGGAGATAAAAAGAAAAATAGATATAAGAATAAACGTCCCGAATCTGAAATTCCTTCCTACACTCCTTTCTTGCAGTTTCTTTGTCTTTTATTTTAATATTTTATTTATTTATTTATTTCATGAAAATATAAATTAAAGAAATGTTTTCTACTAGAGTTGANCACATTTTTGCTTCAATGTTAACTGAGAAATGCGTTTGAAACATCAAATAAAGTTAACAAATTTTGGTTAAAAGGATTAAATTCATACATTTCTAAAGTTTGGGGACTAAATTAGTCCAAAATTTTGAAGAGGGACTAATTCCAATTTTCAGTGAAAGTTAAGGGATCAAAAACATATTTAACCCTATAATAAACAATTGTATGATCCCTTGTTGGCCTGGGGTGGGTAGTTAAGATCCTAAAATGAAATGCAATCTATAACCATCTTTATTTAACGGCCACTTTGACATTAAGTATGAATTAATGTAAGATTTTATCAATGATTATATGTTTCCTTTTAATACTTTTGTAACTCATTCATCTATTCTATTCTTTTCGTCATTTCAAGTATTACATAATATTATATTTAGGTTAATTGTGTTTTTATTCATAAATAATAACAGTTTTACTTTTTATGGATTCTATAAGCTTCATATGTTAAAAAAGGTTTAATATTTGTCTAGGTTTGTCTCAAATAGATTCCTTTATTTTAAATGGTCTTAATTAGTTCTCTTATTATGTAAAATTGAATCGCTGTTAATTACGCTGGACGACGTTAAAAATTATGGTTCGTGACTTGGTGACTCAATAAATTTTATTCACGTGACAACATTTGGACACCTTAGCTGAATTTTATTTATTTATAATTTTAAAAAACTTTATTTTAATAAAAAAACAACATTTTACTTAGGGGAAACTAATTAAAAGTTAGGGATTAGTAGTTTGATACGTAGATTAGGGAAATTCGAAAAAAGAAGAAGGTTTTTTTGGCTTGGTTGTTGTGGTTGGAAATTGGGGGTTTCTTCTCTGGGTTTCTTCTTGTAGGTTCAGGTTGTTGATGGTTGAGAAGCACAAAGATGAAGGTTGATGGAGGCAGGTTGCGCGACAGCGGCAAGGAAGGTCGCGTTAGGGTTCAAACCCTTGGCTCTCTTCGCGATAGGGTTTCGCCTCTTCTCCTCCGCGGCGCTGCTGATGCACTGTGGTGGCGAGATGAAGGTTTGAATGGTTGCATGGGTTCGCGTTACTGCTGGTGGTGGCAAGGAGCGAGAATGTAGAGGTTGCCATGGTGGTGATTTAGGTTTTTAGGGTTCTTTCAGTTTGGGATTTTTTTGTGGGTTTCAGGGTGGAATCATGGTGGTTCTGTTGGAGAAGATAAAGATTCATGGTGGTGATGTAGGTGGCAGGTAAAGGTGATTAGAGAATGGCGGAGACGCGATTCACTTCATTTGGGTTTCGAACAGGTTTCCGGTGCAGTGGTTGTAGGTTCTCATGTTGAGTGGCGCAATTCTTACAGCGGCAACAGTCTGAAAAGGGCTTTGCAGCACGACAATGGTGGTGGTGGCCTTGCGGCAGCGTGTGCGTGGTGGTGGTGCGAGGTAGTGGCGGCGATGGAGGATGACGGTGTTGTGGTTTTTTCGAGGCTTGGTTGTTGTGGTTTCCTAAATTTCCCCAACGCACTCAATAATCAAACCACCAATCCTAACTTTAAATCAGTATTCCTTAACTAAACGTTGTGTTTTGATTAAAATAAAGTTTTTTAAAACTGTAAATAAATAAAATCCAGCTCAGGCGCTGAAATGTTGCCACGTGAATAAAATTTGCTCAGTCACCAATCAATCAATCACAATTTTTAACGCCGTCCAACGTAATTAACGGAGAGACCCAAATTGATTCAATTTTACACAATAAAGGACCTAATTGAGACCATTTAGAATACGAGGACCTATTTGAAACAAACCTACACAAATAGGGATATCCGAAAGGATTAAACCTTAAAAAAACATGAACTTGTTTTTAATGTTCAACGGTAAAATCAGCCGATTCAACTGTGAACGACTTCACAACGAAAGAAACATCAGTAGAAGTTTTATGTTATGCGGGAATGAAGTTTGTTTTCTTCCTTTCTCTCTCACTTGGTTTTTCTCTCTTCAAATGACTCTAATGTGTCGTACTAATCCGACTCATCTCTAATAAAACAAAGTGAGACATAGTATCCATATTATTTGTCCTATTATCCACAAGGGATCCAATAACCCAACACTTACAATATATGTTTGCATGGAAACCTCTAAGCATCATAATTTTGTTCTCCTTTAACATCAAACCATTTATTGGGATAACCAACAAAAACATTAATAATACATTTATAGAAAAAACCCAATACAAATATTACATAATCATATAAACATGTATCAAACAAAAATTATCAATCAAGATAATAAAAAACACATATAATATACAACAACAAACAAACAAAGATAAGTTTACCTGCAAAATCATACATTTCCATCATTAAGCAAAAAATCATAAAATCAACGATTTAATAACGACAGTACTAATTAACTTTTTACCTGTCTTAAAACTTTCTACTTTTTCGAAATCTATCCACCCGTGTTATCTTAGGATTTTTTACTCTATATAAGAAAAAACTTTAAATAAGTGGTTTGAATATATTGTAGATATATATGATATACAGAGGCCCCTCTTAAATATAAATGAATCATAAGTAGACCGACTCATATAATGGGATTTGACCTAGTCCATGTAGATTGGGATTAAAAAGTCTACAAGACTAAAAAGACCTTTTATTAAAAAGTTCACGTGACGAAATACCCTCAAAGTCCTATGGATGCTTTTCATTTTATCAAATTTTATGTACAGAAAAAAAAATTATGATATGTAAATATAGAAGTGATTAAATAAACCAGAAATGATGAATCTGGTGACAAAATATGATATATAAATATAGAAGTTATAATTGAAGCACTCAACAAAAGCAAGTCACAAAGCCAAGCCAACAAAGAAGGCTTGAAACCAAAAGTAATGCACAAAGTTTATCTCGAAAGCTGGAGATAAAAAGAAAAATAGATATAAGAATAAACGTCCCGAATCTGAAATTCCTTCCTACACTCCTTTCTTGCAGTTTCTTTGTCTTTTATTTTAATATTTTATTTATTTATTTATTTCATGAAAATATAAATTAAAGAAATGTTTTCTACTAGAGTTGAATCCATGTTATTTAACATCTGAGTTACGGTAAATTTTTGTTTAACTTACCACGTAACTTAATCATATTTTTTTATCTTAAAATTATTACTACTAATAATACTTAAGTGAAAATTACTATATTTTATTAAGATGAATATTTTTATGGACTATGCAAAATTAGATTGAAAATGAAATTTGTTGCTGACATTTTCCTTTGTGAAATTAACTAGAAAATTGAGGTTTAGATATTTTTGTTTGTGAAATAATCCTAATTTCAAAGATATATTGTAAATGAACATAGCCAATATATTTGTTTTGTTAAATATATGATTAAGATTATAGTATTTGTATTTTTCTTGATATTCTTTTCTTGCGTCTTGATGTGTCTTCTTCTTAGGTGTCCATGTGTTTACTTCTACATCTACAAGTTAAGATATTTGTGAAGAAGACATTTTTAATACTTGAGTGAATTAATGTTTAAGTGAGATAATGCAAAATATATTTTAAAATTATCATATTTTACTGAATTTTTTTTTGTAAATATTTTTTAATCGGTTATTGAAAAGGTTTGTATTTGATTGATTTGACCAACTCTTTAAATTGTTTTTATTACATATTTTTTGATTTAGATTCAGTATAATGAGCCATTTTGACCCTTTAAAGATTTAAAAATAAAAATAATAAAGAAAATTAAATATGTACTTTTAACACTTAAGTTTTATTATTCATTTTAATTTTAATTTAAGTATAATTAATTATTTTATGTATAATTTATATGTTTTATTTGTTTTTAAACATAACTACTATTTTGTAAACAACTAATACATTCGAATTCCGAATGAATAATACGATTATATAACATCACCCCTTCTATATCTTATTTTAGCGATATTTTTTGAACTAAATAAAAATAATTGATTTTTCACAAATTATGTAATGTTATAGTTATTTAAATTTTTTAAAAAAAAAAAAAAAAAAAAGAAAAAAAAAATGTGGGGTAAGAAATCAGTTTAATAATTACAAAATATTTAATATTTAATAATTAATATATGTGTTAATTAAAACACTAATATTAATTAGCATTAAAAGAATCATTAAGAATCACAAATGATAAAAGAAAAAAACATTCCTTCAATATTAATTGTTTTTCTGTAAAAAAAGATAATGTTATAATTACTAAGTAGCACCTAACAAACACTTTATTTAACTACATGAATTACCTTCTTTAAAATGAAATGGTACGTGCTCCAATAAAATTGTATTAACATAAAATATTATTTTAATATATATCTTACTGAATTAAGATTACTTAAAATTGAAAAAAAAATTTATAATTTCATGTTATGTAACCCTCATGGATGCCCAATATGATAAAAAAGAATTTGTAGTGACTCTGTCGAACATACGAGAAATAGTTCAATGTCTGTGTTTTTTTTAGTGAGTATGAATTAATGCGTGTTAAAAAGTTAGAGTAACAAATTTGATTTGACATAATAATAAAATTTTGTTTCTTTTCTTTACTTTTCTGCGGAGATATTTTTTTGTTTTTCCTCCACCAATATAAAAGGTTACTTTCTTAATATGACTACTCGTGCTTGGATTCCCTGGGATTTCGCAGTCCATTTTTGTTGTTATGTGTCAGATACTAACTTCCTTCTCCCAAATACATCAAACCTATTGACATAACTTCTCAATCATTCTATTTTTCTTTTCTAATTTTCACATCTCAATGTGTAATTGCCACTGGAGTTGAAGCTGTGGCAGTGACACGGTTGGTGTGAAGAGTGAGCGAGGTGATTGTGCTTCCTTTGGTCTTCTAATTTTCTCTTCACTTTCTGTGGTGTCATTCCCCTTATTTGCTGTGAATCCTTTCTGGGCACTTTCCACTACTCTTGTTCTGGGTTTTCTCTGCCGTGGGTTGAAAGTTGGAGCTTGTTCTTGTGTTGAAGGTGAAATCAAGCTCGATACTTCATCTGGGTCTAGTTATAATTCCATAAAGTTTTGACTTTATGCTTACCAAACGTTCTCTGTGCTTAAATGACTGGTGGGTTTTGCTAGCTGGCTAAGTGTGCTCTTTAAGAAAGTTTTCAATTATTAAGTGATGTTTCGGTTTTTAGAGGCCCATGTGCCATGCTTAAGAATAGTTAAAAGGAGAAACTGGTACAAATCTTTATGAGCTTGAGGTTAGGAGGGTTTGGTTTTCTGTGGTAAATTTGGATGTGTTCAGAAGGTGATGCATATTTGATCTTTTGTGTATGATGCGTTTGGCAAGATTCTGGGATGGTTAGTAATGGGATTGAATATTTGTTCAAACTCTAAAGAATCATTAGAAGGTTTTGATTGCAAACGAAAGGAACGATCTTGGTCAGATGGGACACGACGAGTTGGTGACAGTTGACAACGTATCTGGAGATGAGCTTGAATCAACTTCTTCTGAGAAAGAAGAGAATTGGAGTGAAAATTTGGAGCAGAATTCTTCAGAGGTTAATTCTACATCTTCAGAGGTTAATTCTACACTTGGAGTAGGTAAGTGCTCATTAGCCCCAAGGAAAGGATTCTTTTATGACTCCTATTAGGCAGTTGATGACTGTGCAATAGGCATTATAATTGTTGTAAAGTAGGTTAACGAAAGTGTTTTCAGTCTGTTAGCCTCTTTTAAGTTGTTTGAACTAACTTTTTTGCCTAAGTATGGTTGGCGCACTCTTTATATATTTAAGGTAGATTCTGATGTCACAACGAAAAGGTTTTCTGGCTTTGAACGATTAATACTCAACTTTGCAGAGAGTAATTTGGCAGTAGCAGAGCTGTAATAATATTTGAGGATTTGACCATGACAAGGGAAAAAAAATGAAGAGTTGAAAATGGAGGAGTCTGTGAAAGTGTGGTACACACAAGAGCGCGACAGAGATTGAGAAGTGGAGAAGGGGAAAGGATTTAAAAGGAGTTCAATAGGATTAATGGAAAGATTTAGAAATTGCTTTATGAATGAAAATCCTTTAGTCATTGCTTTTATGCATTTATCATTGTATTGTCCTGTCTAGAGTTACTTTGCTTGTGTAAAATGCCTTATCCAAAGAGGAACTTTCAGTTGTATAAAGTTTCCAGTTTATATTTTGTTTGGCTTTACAAATTTAAATGCGACATTTTGATCAATTTATCTTCATCCTTGATAGGTTTCCGATTAAGAAACCTATTCAAGAACCTCTAAAACACCTCTTAGGCACCAAGAAAACCAGAATGGGAAATAGAGCTGAATATTATTCACAAAGGTATTGTCTGTACAATCACAGTAACAAGGGCTTAACCCCTTTCACAGGCTTAATCCTGTTAACAAACAAACTACCAAAAGTCCTTTAACTACTAACCCCTCCACTCTTTATACAACCGTTATTCCCACCCTTCCCAACTGTAATAAGCAGTTGGGTTGCTTAACTAAGCATTTCTCTTCCTTCTCTCATAAACTCTCCAACTCTTCTCATTCCTAACATTGCCCTCTGCCTGAAGTTCAACCTTGTCCCCAAGGTTGAAATCAGAGTACTGTTCTTTGATAGCAACTTCATCTTCCCACGTTGCCCCTTCTTGTCCTCCTTCCTGCCATTCAATTAACAACTGTGACACGTCCTCTTCCCCTCTCTGCGTGACTCTCCTCCCCCGAACACTGATGGGCCAAAAAGAGGGTCCATCGGCCTGCAAGTCTGGAGGCAACTCCTTCTCCACTCTCTGCTCCCCTATTGCCTTCTTTAATTGTGAAACATGAAAGNATCACAGTAACAAGGGCTTAACCCCTTTCACAGGCTTAATCCTGTTAACAAACAAACTACCAAAAGTCCTTTAACTACTAACCCCTCCACTCTTTATACAACCGTTATTCCCACCCTTCCCAACTGTAATAAGCAGTTGGGTTGCTTAACTAAGCATTTCTCTTCCTTCTCTCATAAACTCTCCAACTCTTCTCATTCCTAACATTGCCCTCTGCCTGAAGTTCAACCTTGTCCCCAAGGTTGAAATCAGAGTACTGTTCTTTGATAGCAACTTCATCTTCCCACGTTGCCCCTTCTTGTCCTCCTTCCTGCCATTCAATTAACAACTGTGACACGTCCTCTTCCCCTCTCTGCGTGACTCTCCTCCCCCGAACACTGATGGGCCAAAAAGAGGGTCCATCGGCCTGCAAGTCTGGAGGCAACTCCTTCTCCACTCTCTGCTCCCCTATTGCCTTCTTTAATTGTGAAACATGAAAGACAGGGTGTATGCGTGCTGTCTCCGGTAACTGAAGTTTATAGGCCACTGCTCCCACTCTCTGAATCACCTGAAATGGACCAAAAAATCTGGCTGCTAATTTCGGGTGAAGTCTGGTTGGCATGGAAGATTGTCAATGGGGTCTTATCTTCAAGTATACCCAATCACCTACTTCAACATTTGCAGGGTCTCCTCCTTTTGTTGGCTTGTTTTACCATCAGCTCTTGTGCCCTTTCCAAGTGGAACTTCATCTGCTTTAAAGCTTCATCTCGTGTCTGCAACTCCTGATTCACTGCTTCTACCAATGACTCTCTCGATATAAATCGTTGCAGGGATGGAGGTGGCCGCCCATAGACCGCTTCAAACGGTGTACACCGGATTGCTCCCTGATAACTGGTATTATACCAATACTCAGTCCATGGTAAGACTGTCATCCATCCTTTCGGTTGTTCTGAACAGAAGCATCGAAGGTATCCCTCCAAAACAAGGTTTAGAACCTCCGTTTGGCCGTATGTCTCGAGGTGATATGCGGTACTCATTTTCAATCGTGTACCCTGCCCTTTAAATAGCTCCTGCCAAAAAATGCTTAGGAAGAGGGGGTCTCGATCACTCACGATTGATTTCAGAATGCCATGCAACCTAACAATTTCCTTGATGAATAACTCCGCTACCATTATAGCTGAATAAGGATACTTGAGTGGTAGAAAATGACCGTATTTAATAAAGCGATCTACTACCACTAGTATAGCATCAAATCCCTGAGATTTTGGAAGCCTTACTATAAAATCCATGCTTAACTCTTCCCAAATGGCATTCAGAATTGGCAATGGTTGCAACAGTCATTGAGGAGAAGAGGACAAGTATTTGTGCTGCTGACACACCAAGCATCCCGCCACATACTCAGTTACCCTCTTCTTCATATCAATCCAATATAAGGATTGGGCCAACCTCCGATATGTTCTGTAAACACCCGAATGCCCCCGTCTGCGTAACATGGAACTCCGCTAGCAACCTGGGAATCCATGTGGAATTGGTTGACAAAACCAACCTTCCTTTATAGTGTAACCTGTCCTGCTCAATGGTATACGCTGGATGGGTATTTGGATCCCTCTTAAGATCCTCCATCACTTTCTTCAACCTGTCATCTTCCTCCACCTCTCTTAAGATCTCGCCAAAGTCCTGCCAATATGGCCTGACCATCACTCCCAATTCTTTTACCTCCTCCTTGTCTCCCTCCTCCCCCTTGATAGGGCATTCGCCGCTCGGTTGGTAGCCCCTGCTTTGTATACTATCTCAAAATCGTATCCCAATAGTTTTGCAATCCAATTCTGTTGGTTTTGAGTAGTTATACGCTGCTCTAACAAGTGGCGAAGGCTCCTCTGGTCGGTATGCACCACAAATCTTTGCCCCAACAGGTAAGGCCTCCAATGCTGTATGGCCAATACCAAAGCCATCAGTTCCTTCTCATAAATTGATTTGCTCAACGTCCCTGCTGATAACGCCTTACTAAAATAGGCAATGGGTCTTCCCCCCTAAGTCAAAACCGCCCCACGCCCACACCCGAGGCATCACACTCTATGTGAAATAGTTGTTGGAAGTCTGGCAAAGATAACACCGGAGCTGTCGTGATAGCCCTCTTCAGTTGTTGCAAGGCTTCTTCAGCCCTTTCATTCCATAAGAACTCTCCTTTCTTCAGTAACTCAGTCAGGGGCTTAGCAATCTTCCCATAGTCTTTAACAAACCTCCTATAATAACCAGTTAAACCTAAAAATCCCCTCACTACTTTTACCGTTTTTGGCCTGCTCCATTCAGTCACAGCTCTCACCTTCTCAGGATATAGCATGACCCAAGTACTTAATCTGAGTCTGCCCGAATTCACACTTCTTTCGGTTTGCCACCCAAATGTTCTGCTCTAGAGTAGCCAACACAATAGCAACATGTTCAAGGTGCTCTCCCCATGTGGTGCTGTAAACCAATATATCGTCGAAGAACACCAAAACATATTTCCTTAGATAAGGCTGGAAAAGGTTGTTCATGGCATTTTGGAATGTAGCTGGAGCGTTCATAAGGCCGAAGGACATTACCATAAATTCATAATGCCCTTGGTGTGTCCTAAAAGCCGTCTTCTCGACATCTTGCTCTCCCATACGGATTTGATGATAACCCGCTTTCAAATCAATCTTCAAAAAATAGCAAGCCCCCTCAACTCATCCAATAGCTCCTCAACTACCGGTATTGGGAATTTATCCNCAACTACCGGTATTGGGAATTTATCAAGCACCGTGGCACGATTCAACGCCCTATAGTCGACGGAAAACCTCCAACTGCCGTCTTTCTTCTTCACTAAGATGAAGGACTGAGTAGGGACTATGGCTGGGTCTAATCACCCTTGTTTTGAGCATTTCCTTTACTTGCGCTTCTATCTCCCCCTTTAATCACATGGGGGTACCTGTAAGGCCTAACATTTACAGGATCCCATGCCCTCTTTGAGAGGATGTGATGCACCATGCACGATCAGGAGGTAGCCCCACTGGATCCGCCAAAACCCCGCTTGTGAACTGCTCAACAACAACTCATTTTCTTTTCTTGTCTCTTGTTAAACTCTGACAGTTCTCACCTTCCTCCTTTGAATCTAAAGATCCAAACTCCCAGACCAACACCAAATCTTTACCTCGGTATTTTTAGTAAAGCACCCGGTTCACCATCTTCCTTTCTATGTTGTATCCCCCTGAATCCTTACCTTCCTCCCTAGCTGTTGGTACGCCATGGTCAATTTACTCCAGTCCAGGGTCACTTCTCCTAACTTCTCCAACCACTCCACTCCTAATATTACTGTCCACCCTCCTAGCTCACAACAAGTGGAACCTCTCTACCACTTCCACTTCGCCCAACCAATCTTCACCTTCTCACAGCAGCCCTGTGTTTTTTTTCTGATAGCCGTCTCCCAAGCTGACCCTGTAAGGCTGGATATCAACCATTGTCATCCCCATTTCCTCCACTAACTCCTGGCGTATGAAGTTGTGACTGGCTCCACTGTGAATGAGAACCAGCACTTCTCGACCCCCTATGCTTCCTCTTAATTTCATTGTTTTAGGGGACGTCAACCCCCTGCTGAAAAAGCTGATAACTCCATCAGGACTGGTCCACTCATCGTTGCTTCACTCCCATCTTCCTCCTCTTCTTCTGCCAGAATCAACATCCTATATCCTCTTTCTGGACATCAATGACCTGGGCTAAAAGGTCCCCCCACATCGGAAACACCTTCCCTCTTCCCTTCTTTTTATGAATTCCGAATAGGGTAAGTTTCGGATGCTTCTTCCTCTTCCCTCTACATTAGGCCTGGCAACACCACTTCCCTGGGTCGTCTCACGCCTGATCGACCCCACACTCTCCGCGGTCCCCCCTCGTCCCTGTACCTCGCGACTGAGTTCGCTTCTTGTGGCCACCCTCGCTGTCCCTCCCCAAACGTTCGAATTCTTGGTCGATTGTCCACCACCGATCTTCGATTGGGAACACAACTTTTGTACATCCCGAGCAATACGCATAGCAGTCATTAAATCTTGCGGGTCATGGGGCCTCATTAGATCGCTCACCTCCTCTTGCAGCCCTGCCATAAAGTAACCCAAGAGTTGTTCCTCCGGAATCCTCGTCGTCTGCCCCACCAACACTTCGAAATCCCTAACATACTCGTTCACTGCCCCTACTTGTTTAACCAATCTCTCGTAGACGGACCCTCGTCCTCCTTCTCCAAATTTGATCACCAACGCTCTCTTCAACCCTTCCCAAGATCTGTTCTTTGTGTTTTCTCTCCAAAGCGAAACCAGTACGCTGCATACCCTTCCATACTGATGAACACAACTGTACTTTCTCGTCTTCGGCCACCTTCTGCACCTCAAAGAATTTCTCTGCTCTACTTATCCAAATCAATGGTCGCCCCTTCAAACCCCGTAATTCTACCCGTTCCTCCAATTGGGAGGGCCTTTCTTGATATCCTTCCCCTCTTCGCTCCCTATCTCCTTCGATTCCGCCACTGTTGTCGTTCACGGACAACTCACTGGCCCTTTGGCGATTTCCATTTGGATCGCGGTTGCGATCCCCCAGCATCTTCAGGATCGCCTGGATATCCTGCCTCATTGCTTCGTGTTTTGTCTCAAAACCCCAGTATCTGCCTTTGTCTCTCCACGGCGATCTCCACCGCCTCTAACTGACCTTCAACTGCCACTACTCTTCCCTCCATCACGCGTGCACGTCACTCCTCCAATTGGGATCCGGCAGGTCGGACCAATTGATAGGTTTCCGATTAAGAAACCTATTCAGAACCTCTAAAACACCTCTTAGGCACCAAGAATACCCAGAATGGAAACCAAAGCTGAATATTATTCACCAAAGGTATGTACTGTTACCAATCACGAGGAACAAGGGGCTTAACCGCTTTCATAGGCTTAATCCTGTAACAAAACAAACTACCAAAAGTCCTTTATACAAACCCTCCACTATTTATACAACCGTTATTCCCGCCCTTCCCAACTGCAATAAGCAGTTGGGTTGCTTAACTAAGAATTTCTCTTCCTTCTCTCATAAACTCTCCAACTCTTCTCATTCCTAACAATCCTCAAGCTTTTTAACCTTTAAAAGGAATTTTTCTTTTTCATATATGTTATTGGCTTTGACTGATTCATGTGGCTGACCCTCCTAGTCTGATTGTTATTGTGCTTGTCTACCTCCTAACTTGGTTATATTGTGTATTGGATGACTATAAGCTGTAGGCCTTCTACCTTTGACTATTGTTTCTTGGTTCTTTTGAAGATTAATTTGATGTTTTATATTGTTGAAATTTGCTCACAAAGGTTTGGACCATTTCATCCCAGGGCCTGTTGGAACTGAGAGTAACCTCCTTGTTGCTGCTGACAATGGGATTTTGTTTCCTAAATCAATGATGGAATTTTGGGATTCTCCAAGGCAAGACCTAATAGTGGACAGGCTTTCAGAGTGTGAGAAGGTAGATTCCCATGTTATATCTTGTGTGCATATATATATATATATATATATATATATATATATATATATATATATATTGTGCATTTCATTCAAATTTTAGTAAGTTATGTCCATATATCAATAGTTGTTGATATGTTCTTTGTAATATTGTTTCAAAGATGCAAATCTGGACAATTGCTATTTTTACCTTTCGTACACTTATGATTCACAATTTGAATCATATGATTTGATACATATAAAAGATATTTACTGCATGATCAATGCAATTTTGTATCATGGATATATATCACACTATTCTATGATTCATTATTTTTCCTTTCACCAATTCTCGTAAATAAATTGAAAAATCAGTAAGCTTAAATTGGTAAACAAAAAAGAATGGAAAGTGAACTTATGATCTTATCCTATTTGATTATTTGTTACTCTATTTTTCACTCACTTATTCAACACATGTACTCTTTCAATATTTTATTGTTTCAATTCTTTTATGCTGACATAGATAAAACTATTCATGTTATTTTATGAGAGCTGTGATTAAATTGTTTTGTCCATGTGTAGTTTATAATTCTCACACTGAATATTATATATCATATTGTGATATATTTGAAGTTATTTTATATTGTCTCTGCATCTTACTTTTGGATACAGATTATGACTCACATTAGTGAAGTTAACTTAGTGATTCACAATTTGAATCTCAGTTTTACATTTTTTTGTTGAGGAATATGTGGTGTTTATAGTGGCTTAAGGTTTGTTTTTAGATAGTTTTGAAAATTAGATTATTTCAATAATCAATTATTGTTACAGTTGATTGTGGTTAGAATCAATATTTGTTACAGTTGATTGTAGTTAGAATCAATATTTGTTTGGGTAGTTGATTGTAATTAGAATCAATATTTTTTTGGGTAATTATACTGCAAAGTAGTATTAAGATGATAAACATTGTTTGAATGCAACACAAAAAATTATTTTCTTTTGTAATAAAAATTAAATGTATCAATGTTTTTATAACCGGATGGATCCTTGTAGAATCCTTCAGACACTAATTTAAGGTTGAATGGTTTAACTGTGATTGTACCAGTTTAATAATATCATAACTTATAATGGTGAAAACTAAAACTTACTTTTTAGGTTCTTAACATTTAATAACAAGTTTATATTTGATATAAAAATGAACATGCCAAATTTTTTAGATCTATCCTTTTTAAGAAAGAAAATTAAAAAGATGTATCAATTTTTTTTCCAGTGATATACTATAAATCAGTTTTTTGTTGGATTTTGACCAGTTTTTAGTTCTTTGATCAGTTTTCTTCAAACCAGTGTTATGATTTATTTAAATGGGGTTACTTGACTACTAATCCTGTCTTACTATTCTAGTTTTAGAACACATGTCTGTATTAAGCAGAATAGGAAAAAACAACTGTTGAAAAATTTTCAAATTCATGAAAACAATTTATTTTTCAGAAATTTTTTCTAAATTTCAGCTGTTGTCCCAAATATCTAGCTTATTTTGCTAACAACTCATTTTTCATAAAAATAGCTGGAAAAGTTTTTCAAACATGGTATCCAAATATTTGAAATTTAGTTAAATATTATCTCTTCATGTTAATACTTCATAATATCTCATCAGTCAATGTATAATGTGTTAATTTTGTTTTCCTTTTCTGATAAAATTGAAGCATTAAGACTTTTATGACGTTTGAAAACCTTTAGTTGCATGCCTTTGAAGCTTTCTTGTCCACATTTCTGTGTTTGTGATTTATGCATTAGAGTTGCCAAATTCTGTTGATTGGTGACGACACTTCTATGTTGTTTCTCAGCAAAAGCTGCTTAACCTTGTAAAGATACAAAATGATGGGACTGTTGACGTTGATCTGGAAAAAGATGCACCTCTTGTATCCGAATTGTTGAAGTTTCAATCTTTTGAAGAGTCAACAACGAGTGCAAGTGTTGTTTCTGAAACAAAAATATCAGCTCCATGGTTACAAATTGTCATGCTTGTGGTTGGGACTAGAGGCGATGTACAACCTTTCCTGGCCATCGCAAAAAAACTCCAGGCATGTTTGTTCCATCCAATTCTTCCTCGTACACATGAGAGCAGAGATGTCAAATAACTGTGATTAGTTTTGTTGCTTATTGTAGTGAGAACAAATTTTTCTGAGAACAAATTTGCTGTGAGAAAGTTAATTTTTCCACCTAATCTAATATTTTGTGCTACATGGGTGTATTTTTGACTTTTTAGTTTGAGGTCATTACTTTCTCCCTATTCAGTGATAAAACCCTTACTGCTTATCCATAGGCCGACTTTGGTTTATACCATTCTTTAGCATGGTCAGGTTTACAATTTGTTTCTATTGTATAGACAGAATGAATAAAATTGTTGATATGTACGTTACTTTATAGGATGCCTAAATGAGAACAAACTCCTGGGAATGATGCACTTTGTTATTGGTTTCCTGTTATTGCCTGAACTTAGATGTTGTGGTTTTGGTATATCTGTTCTTTATGAGCATTCTTAGGAGAAAAGTGATAAAAAGAGATGAGAGAGAAAAGAAATGACACAAAAACTTAATGGGTTTGGCACACAATGTTTCTACTTATGTCCACGAGTAAGTATTTGATTTTGGTGTGCCTAAAAGCTTCACAAGGTGTTACTTATATAGCAATATAGAAAACAATATCTTGAATACTATATCATACAATGTGGGACTAAAACCAAGCTCTCCAATACTAATAATTCTCCATATAAAATTCTCCACTTGATTTACATCATCATCTAGTGTAGTGCCTTCATCATTAATTATACTCGAAGGCTAATTGAGGCAATACGAAGTCTCAACTAATCCGTTGTAGTCTTGGACAACATAGTAGTTTTGGACAACATAGTAGTTGGATTCTCTAATTCTGAGTTCTTCAACAATGACAAATCTCCATCACTTATCAAGTCTCTAATACAATGATACTTTAATTCAATGCTCTTGCATCTAAAATGAAGGATTGAATTTTTGCAAGACGTATAGCACTTTGATTGTCACTATATAATAGAGAATCATCTTGCTCCTTCCCTAATTCTTTGAGAAGGTTCTTTAGCCCATATCATCATCTCCTTGGTTGCTCCCGAGATAGCTACATACCTAGCTTCATGGGTTGAAAGGGAAACTTTGCCCTGAAGTTTAGACAACTTCACAATACCTTCTAGTCTATGTTTGGAGATTCTCATACTAAGTATTTGTTTGACCGGACCAAGATCCTTCATCTCAAAGCTTCTTGCCAATTGTTTTTTCAACATGGTAACTTCGTCTTATTGGACCTTACAATTAATATGTTGTCAAGCTATATCTTTCATACTAGACCAAGATCCTTCTAGTCTTCAACGTGTTGAGTTGCTCATAAACTCATTAAACTTCTTGTATGTCATTTTGATGCTTGTTTCGAGCCATACAAACTTTTATGAACCTTGTGTACAACATTCTCCATGCCTTATACTCCAAAACCGTATGTATGTGTCACAAAGATGTCTTCCTCTAGATCCATGTAGGAATGGAATTTTAACATCTAATTTCTCTAGATGAAGATTTTCTACGATTACAACATTCTAGATCAACTTTGATGGTAGTCATCTTGACAATAAGAGAAAAAATACCTGTGAAGTCTATTCCTTGGTTTTGTTGAAACCCTTTGCTAGAGTCTAACCTTGTATCTTCTGTTGCTACTAGGTTCTTTTAACCTATAGACCTACTTGTTTTGCAAATCCTTCTTTCCTTCTGGTATCTTGAGTAAAGACCAAGTTTTATTCTTCTAAAGAGATTTAATATCATCTTTCATTGGTAGCTCCCACTTATTAGCCATCCCTCGTATAGCCTTAGCAAAATTTGCTAAATCACTAGCATCAATTAACAAGTAATGCAATGAAGGATAATACCTTTGTAGTGTTACTATCATTCTAGCCAATGTGGAATCTCAAGTTAAAGTAGATCCACTACCTTAATATACTATCATAACCATTTGGAGTCTATCCCAGTTGAGATTTGGGACCATCATGCTACTTGTTATAGGGTCCCCCTCATTCTCACACTCGATGTCCTTGGCATGAGCGAGTGTGTAGAAGATCTTATACTAGCTAGAGATAAGACCAAATTATATTATGTAAGTATGGAAAACCTTCTTTGTAGGATTGAGTTAGACCTAAATTCCACTGCTTTGATATGGTATATTAGAGCATTAAGGGACTATCCTAATTGAAGATTTAGGCCTATCCTACAACCTACTATCTGGCCCCACACTTGATGTTCTCAAGTAAGGAAGTGTGTTGTTAAATCTCACAATTACCTAGAGGTAAAACCAATTTAGAGTACATAAGTGAGGTCAAACTTCACTTTATTGAGCTGGTATTGTAGAGTTGAGTTAAACTTAAACCTTACTGCTTTATTATTATTAACTTCTTTTTTACATTATATACTCACATTCATTGAAGTTTTCCCTCTTATGTCATTCCATTTTACCATTGCATTTCTTACATATAGATCTTGACTTCTCATCTGTATGTATCTTTCAATAAAATGCCAGTGGCTCTATTGTTAATGTAACAAAAAAGCATGGCATATTATCTAAGTATTTAATTCAGTTGTATTCATTTTCACGTTTTTGTGATGCAAGTATATTCCCCTGATTGCTGTCATTAGATTTGTGCTACTTATCTTATTTGAGAGACTGCAAAATCATTATTTTCCAATTACTGTTAATGAGTTTTATATCAAAACCATTAGCTTTACTGAATTCTCACTTTTTTGCAGGACTATGGTCATCGTGTTAGGCTGGCAACACATGCTGATTTTGACACATTTGTAAAGAGTGCTGGTGTTGATTTCTATCCGTTGGGTGGTGATCCTCGTGCTTTGGCAAGATGTAAGAGGTTCCTTTTTAATGCTGCCCTTAGTATCTAATAATTTTCATTTTCAGTATATACTTTGTTCATAACATGCCAAGACCTTCTCTTTAGCTCTCGTCTAGGAGTACCAGGCTTGATGCATGTATAATATGGTTGATGACACTATTAATGAATTTAGGATAGCCTTTTATACTATCTTAGAGTATGAGTTTAAGGCTAATTAAATCCTAGAAAATTGACATGTAAGGTGAGTTACTCTCATTTTCAGGTTTTATTTCGAATTATTGATAAAATTAACTTTAGAGGTAGTTAAAAGCTGAACCTAGCTGAGTTGAGAATCTTGTTGAAACTGAGAGCTAGGTGAAAGTTGAGAAATTATGCTAGAATTGTTTGGTAAAGCTAGTTGAAATTTATAAATGAAAAAGAAGGGCATGATTAATTATTGAATTAAATGTTAATATTAGGTAATTACATATTTTCAATAATTATAAATTTATATTTATTTTAATTTTTTTATAATCGATTTTTTTATACAAGTTAAATTTCAAGTAATATTTGTGTAAAAGATAGTTATTATAATTTGAAATAGTTATTCATTTGTGAATAAAACAAATATTTTATTAAATAAAAAAAAATTAAACACAATAATAAACAAGTTGTTATAAATCTAAAACAGTTTGTTATTAAATCAATAATAAAAAAACAGTAAAGCAACAACCTAAAAATCTTTAGTCATAAACAAGTGTTGGACATTAGGGTTCCTATTATTATTTTAAGGGTAAGATGGTAAAATATAAGTGTTATCTGGGTTTGTTATTTTGAAATAGTTATTAGTAGTATTGAAATAAGCTAAAAGCTATTAAGAAGGCTACCTTGCTGAAATAATTTTATCAAAATTTTATGTACTAGTTTCATCTATTATCTAGATGAAATGTTTTATCAAATGCACACAAAGTACTCTATAAACACAATTAATCATCCTAGTGAGTGAATTCCTTATTGTCTCTAAGATATTATGAAAAAATTGAAGGCATTCTTATTTATTTCTCCGCCATTGAATAGCTAAAGATTTGCAAGATTATGACTGCCATATTTAGCAAGCTAATGCTCACAGTGAGTGGTTTTCTAGTTTTGACACTGTTGTAGTAATCATGTTCTCGGATTAGCTTCAAAAGTAATAAGATTATTTCGATAATATATTTATCTATAATTGATTAAAATAAATCAATTATATGAACTAAGTTTTATGTTTAGATGTGTGGGGTCAAAAGCGATTTTATGATAATCTTATTTGTTTGAATTGTCTAAGAATCACTTTCTCGTGATGAAATTATTCTTAAGTTATCTGTAGTAGTTGGTATTTATATAAGCAATATTGGGGAATAAAATGGGATTGAAAAAGTTAGCTAGAAAGTAATTTGACCGTTTTTTATAATCCTAAGCTTCAAACTTTTGCCTCTGATGAAAAAGTTTTCTTTGTTAAATACTCAAGTGTTGTATTAAAAAATCCATGTCATTGCCAAGGGCCATCTACCATCTACCAAAAAAAAAACATACCAGCATTACATCTAGTAACACTATCCACTGATGTTGGACCACTCTCAAATGTGTAGTGAAAATATCTCGAAATGAAGGATGTATTGAAAATTTCATATCAACTAAAGATAAGTTCAATTTACACTATATAGGTGGATACAAATTTTATTTTACAAATAAGTTTTATAGAATTGAGTTAGGTTTAAAATCTATTTCTTAAGAAAAGGCTTCCTCAAGAAATTTTACCATTGCTAAGCACCACATTTTTCTGTCTTAACTTACAAACCACTCTCCATTCAAGATATAAGTCAACCAAATAATCAGAAAAACTCAACTATAACTACAATGGCAGGAAAAGAATCATAATACTTAACTACAACTAACTAAATGTTGAACTAGTAATCAGAATATTATAACCGTAGCCAGAATTTTTAACTAAAAAGAAGACTACTTCTATATGCTAAGCAAACAACAAGAATACTTATACTATAACTAGAAGGGGCCGCGCGAACGCAGGCCCCCCATGCCCAAATATGACGTAGACTCTCCCACTTGGGGAGACCTTAGTCGGGCACCCTTCCTAAGTGCAATGGAAGTCACCAGGCTAGGCCATAGGCCTTCTTGATCACCCATTGACCCCGTCCAGGTAAGTATGTTCAAATGTTGCTAGAGACACTATATTTAAAGTGTATAAGACAGAAGGAATGTTTATTTTTAGTGATGTGGGACTAAGAGAAATTCTATCCAGGTGCATTCCAATCACTCCCAAGTATGTCTGGCATTTAAGGATTTTCTGCTGTTAAATACTGAACTCATTAAATTCACAGAGAAAATACCAGATTTTAATTGAACTGATGTTTCTTATATAAATATTTTTCGACTGAAGACTATGGGGAAGACATTAGTTTTGAAATCCTTTTCAGTATTAGGGAAACAATGTTTCAACATGGTGAAGACAGCCAGAAGTTCCATTTTGGCTCTTATTTTTTAGAAAACTGTTAGCATTTGTTGCTTGAGAAAAACTGAACCAAACATACTAATTGCATCTCTACTCCTGGTCTTAAAATTCTTATCACATGATGAAAGAAAGAGTTCTTCTGGGATTCAAATTTGTAACCACTTCAAACCAAAAGACAATGCACACTTCGATCAAACTTCTACTTTGAATTTAGAACTGCAAGTAGCTGTAGCTGTAGCAATACTGAGTGTAGAATGTCAATCACAGCGAGATAAAGTGACACCAAACAATATTGAATAGCAATAGGTATTCCAATTCAATACAAATAAGCCCTTTTTAAAAATCATCGCCGGACTTTGGCTGACATTCTACAGGGGATTTAATTGAAAAAAGGAAAAGAAATACAAGAGGACACTGCGGAAACTAAACTAAAGTCATGACCTCACCTGTAATACATGTAACCCTGTTGAGCTGTATGGTATATATACGCAAGGATTGTTCTAACACCATTGTCTTCGATATTCCATGTTTTAAACCTTTAGATAAAGGTTTAGATGTTTAAGCAATTGTATTAGGTATGATTGGTGGTGGATTTTAAATAGTATGTTTTCTTGCTATTAGGCAGAAGAAAGAGAGAAAGAAACAATTAACTACTCTTCTAACCTATGACCAACAAAACCAATTTAAGAAGCTAAACAAATATTGCATTCAGTCAGCAAAAAAACTCTACCAAAAATTGATTACTGTGTGTGAGCAAGGCTTGCAGTATCAGAGCATGAGCAATTTGACATGCCACTGGCTTAAAAAAGAATGTCTGTAGATATATTGAGCCATAAAGGAGAGACCCCTTCTTGCCCTCCATCCTGCCATTCAATTAACAACTGTGACACGTCCTCTTCCCCTCTCTGCGTGACTCTCCTCCCACGAACACTGATGGGGCAAAAAGAGGGTCCATCGGCCTGCAAGTCTGGAGGTAACTCCTCCACTTTCTGCTCCCCTATTGCCTTCTTTAATTGTGAAACATGAAAGACAGGGTGTATGCGTGCTGTCTCCGGTAACTGGAGTTTATAGGCCACTGCTCCCACTCTCTGGATCACCTGAAATGGACCAAAAAATCTGGCTGCTAATTTTGGGTGAAGTCTGGTTGGCATGGAAGATTGTCGATGGGGTCTTATCTTCAAGTATACCCAATCACCCACTTCAACATTTGAAGGTCTCCTCCTCTTGTTGGCTTGTTTTACCATCAGCTCTTGTGCCCTTTCCAAGTGGAACTTCATCTGCTTTAAAGCTTCATCCCGTGTCTGCAACTCCTGATTCACTGCCTCTACCAATGACTCTCCCGGTATAAATCGTTGCAGGGATGGAGGTGGCCGGTCGTCCATGGACCGTTTCAAACGGTGTACACCGGATTGCTCCCTGATAACTGGTATTATACCAATACTCAGCCCAGGGTAAGACTATCATCCATCCTTTCGGTTGTTCTGAACAGAAGCATCGAAGGTATCCCTCCAAAACACGATTTAGAACCTCCATTTGCCCGTCGGTCTCGGGGTGATAAGCAGTACTCATTTTCAATTGTGTACCCTGCCCTTTAAATAGCTCCTGCCAAAAAATGCTGAGGAATAGGGGGTCCCGATCACTCACGATTGATTTCGGAATGCCATGCAACCTAACAATTTCCTTGATGAATAACTCCGCTACCATTCTAGCTGAATAAGGATACTTGAGTGGTAGAAAATGACCGTATTTACTTAAGCGATCTACTACCACTAGTATAGCATCAAATCCCTGAGATTTTGGAAGCCTTACTATAAAATCCATGCTTAACTCTTCCCAAATGGCATTCGGAATTGGCAATGGTTGCAGCAGTCCTTGAGGAGAAGAGGACAAGTATTTGTGCTGCTGACCCACCAAGCATCCCGCCACATACTCAGTTACCCTCTTCTTCATATCCATCCAATATAAGGATTGGGCCAACCTCGATATGTTCTATAAACACCCGAATGCCCCCCGTTTGCGTAACATGGAACTCTGCCAGCAACCTGGGAATCCACGTGGAATTGGCTGACAAAACCAACCTTCCTTTATAGTGTAACCTGTCCTGCTCAATGGTATACGCTGGATGGGTATTTGGATCCCTCCTAAGATCCTCCATCACCTTCTTCAACCTGTCATCTTCCTCCACCTCTCTTAAGATCTCGCCAAAGTCCTGCCAATATGGCCTGACCATCACTCCCAATTCTTTTACCTCCTTGTCTCCCTCCTCCCTCCTTGATAGGGCATCCGCCGCTCAGTTGGTAGCCCCTGCTTTGTATACTATCTCAAAATCGTATCCCAACAATTTTGCAATCCAATTCTGTTGGTTTTGAGTAGTTATACGCTGCTTTGACAAATGGCGAGGGCTTCTCTGGTCAGTATGCACCACAAATCTTTGCCCCAACAGGTAAGGCCTCCAATGCTATATGGCCAATACTAAAGCCATCAGTTCCTTCTCATAAATTGATTTGCTCAACGTCCCTGCTGATAACGCCTTACCAAAATAGGCAATGGGTCTTCCCCCCTGAGTCAAAACCGCCCCCACGCCCACACCCGAGGCATCACACTCTATATGAAATGGTTGTTGGAAGTCTGTCAAAGATAACACCGGGGTTGTCGTGATAGCCCTCTTCAGTTGTTGCAAGGCTTCTTCAGCCCTTTCATTCCATAAGAACTCTCCTTTCTTCAGTAGCTCAGTCAGGGGCTTGGCAATCTTCCCATAGTCTTTAACAAACCTCCTATAATAACCAGCTAAACCCAAAAATCCCCTCACTCCTTTTACCGTTTTCGGCCTACTCCATTCAGTCACAGCTCTCACCTTCTCAGGATCCACCTCTACTCCCTTGCTCGATATAGCATGACCCAAGTACTTAATCTGAGTCCGCCCGAATTCACACTTCTTTCGGTTTGCCACCCAATTGTTTTGCTCTAGAGTGGCCAACACAATAGCAACATGTTCAAGGTGCTCTCCCCATGTGGTGCTGTAAACCAATATATCGTCGAAGAACACCAAAACGTATTTCCTTAGATAAGGCTGGAAAAGGTTGTTCATGGCATTTTGGAATGTAGCTGGAGCATTCGTAAGGCCGAAAGGCATTACCATAAATTCATAATGCCCTTGGTGTGTCCTAAAAGCCGTCTTCTCGACATCTTGCTCTCCCATACGGATTTGATGATAACCCGCTTTCAAATCAATCTTCGAAAAGTAGCAAGCCACCCTCAACTCATCCAATAGCTCCTCAATTACCGGTATTGGGAATTTATCCGGCACCGTGGCACGATTCAACGCCCTGTGATCGACGCAAAACCTCCAACTGTCGTCTTTCTTCTTCACTAAGATGACCGGACTCGAGTAGGGACTATGGCTGGGTCTAATCACCCCTGTTTTGAGCATTTCCTTTACTTGCTGCTCTATCTCCCCTGTTTTTAGCATTTCCTTTACTTGCTGCTCTATCTCCCCCTTCATCACATGGGGGTACCTGTAAGGCCTAACATTTACAGGATCCCTGCCCTCTTTGAGAGGTATGTGATGCACCATGCCATGATCAGGAGGTAGCCCCACTGGATCCGCAAACACCCCCTTGTACTGGGTCAACAACAACTCCGTTTCTTTTCCTTGTCCTTCTGTTAAACTCTGACAGTTCTCACCTTCCTCCTTTGAATCTAAAGATCCAAACTCCCAGACCAACAACCAAATCTCTACCTCGGTTATTTTTAGTAAAGCACCCGGTTCCACCATCTTCCTTTCTAATGTTGTATCCCCCTGAATCCTTACCTTCCTCCCTAGCTGTTGATACGCCATGGTCAATTTACTCCAGTCCAGGGTCACTTCTCCTAACTTCTCCAACCACTCCACTCCTAATATTACGTCCACCCCTCCTAGCTCAAACAAGTGGAACCTCTCTACCACTTCCACTTCGCCCAACACAATCTTCACCTTCTCACAGCAGCCCTGTGTTTTTTTTCTGATAGCCGTCTCCCAAGCTGACCCTGTAAGGCTGGATATCAACCATTGTCATCCCCATTTCCTCCACTAACTCCTGGCGTATGAAGTTGTGACTGGCTCCACTGTAAATGAGAACCAGCACTTCTCGACCCCCTATGCTTCCTCTTAATTTCATTGTTTTAGGGGACGTCAACCCCCTGCTGAAAAAGCTGATAACTCCATCTAGGACTGGTCCATCTCATCCGTTGCTTCACTCCCATCTTCCTCCTCTTCTTCTGCCAGAATCAACATCCTCAATCCTCTTTCTGGACATCTATGACCTGGGCTAAAAGGTCCCCCACATCGGAAACACCTTCCCTCTTCCCTTCTTTTTATGAATTCCGAATAGGGTAAGTTTCGGACGCTTCTTCCTCTTCCCTCTACATTAGGCCTGGCAACACCACTTCCCTGGGTCGTCTCACGCCTGATCGACCCCACACTCTCCGCGGTCCCCCCTCGTCCCTGTACCTCGCGACTGAGTTCGCTTCTTGTGGCCACCCTCGCTGTCCCTCCCCAAACGTTCGCATTCTTGGTCGATTGTCCCCCACCGATCTTCGATTGGGAACACAACTTTTGTACATCCCGAGCAATACGCATAGCAGTCATTAAATCTTGCGGGTCATGGGGCCTCATTAGATCGCTCACCTCCTCTTGCAGCCCTGCCATAAAGTAACCCAAGAGTTGTTCCTCCGGAATCCTCGTCGTCTGCCCCACCAACACTTCGAAATCCCTAACATACTCGTTCACTGCCCCTACTTGTTTAACCAATCTCTCGTAGACGGACCCTCGTCCTCCTTCTCCAAATTTGATCACCAACGCTCTCTTCAACCCTTCCCAAGATCTGTTCTTTGTGTTTTCTCTCCAAAAGCGAAACCAGTACGCTGCATACCCTTCCATACTGATGAACACCAACTGTACTTTCTCGTCTTCGGCCACCTTCTGCACCTCAAAGAATTTCTATGCTCTACTTATCCAAATCAATGGGTCGCCCCTTCAAACCCCGGTAATTCTACCCGTTTCCTCCAATTGGGAGGGCCTTCTTGATATCCTTCCCCTCTTCGCTCCCTATCTCCTTCGATTCCGCCACCGTTGTCGTTCACAGACGACTCACTAGCCCTTTGGCGATTTCCATTTGGATCGCGGTTGCGATCCCCCAGCATCTTCAGGATCGCCTGGATATCCTGCCTCATCGCTTCGTAGTTTTGTCTCAAAACCCCCGTATCTGCCTTTGTCTCTGCCACGGCGATCTCCACCGCCTCTAACTGACCTTCAACTGCCACTACTCTTCCCTCCATCACGCGTGCACGTCACTCCTCCAATTGGGATCCGACAGGTCGGACCAATTGATAGGTTTCCGATTAAGAAACCTATTCAAGAACCTCTAAAACACCTCTTAGGCACCAAGAATACCAGAATGGAAACAAAGCTGAATATTATTCACAAAGGTATTGTCTGTACAATCACAGAAACAAGGGCTTAACCACTTTCAAAGGCTTAATCCTGTTAACAAACAAACTACCAAAAGTCCTTTAACTACTAACCCCTCCACTATTTATACAACCGTTATTCCCGCCCTTCCCAACTGCAATAAGCAGTTGGGTTGCTTAACTAAGAATTTCTCTTCCTTCTCTCATAAACTATCCAACTCTTCTCATTCCTAACAATCCTCAAGCTTTTTAACCTTTAAAAGGAATTTTTCTTTTTCATATATGTTATTGGCTTTGACTGATTCATGTGGCTGACCCTCCTAGTCTGATTGTTATTGTGCTTGTCTACCTCCTAACTTGGTTATATTGTGTATTGGATGACTATAAGCTGTAGGCCTTCTACCTTTGACTATTGTTTCTTGGTTCTTTTGAAGATTAATTTGATGTTTTATATTGTTGAAATTTGCTCACAAAGGTTTGGACCATTTCATCCCAGGGCCTGTTGGAACTGAGAGTAACCTCCTTGTTGCTGCTGACAATGGGATTTTGTTTCCTAAATCAATGATGGAATTTTGGGATTCTCCAAGGCAAGACCTAATAGTGGACAGGCTTTCAGAGTGTGAGAAGGTAGATTCCCATGTTATATCTTGTGTGCATATATATATATATATATATATATATATATATATATATATATATATATTGTGCATTTCATTCAAATTTTAGTAAGTTATGTCCATATATCAATAGTTGTTGATATGTTCTTTGTAATATTGTTTCAAAGATGCAAATCTGGACAATTGCTATTTTTACCTTTCGTACACTTATGATTCACAATTTGAATCATATGATTTGATACATATAAAAGATATTTACTGCATGATCAATGCAATTTTGTATCATGGATATATATCACACTATTCTATGATTCATTATTTTTCCTTTCACCAATTCTCGTAAATAAATTGAAAAATCAGTAAGCTTAAATTGGTAAACAAAAAAGAATGGAAAGTGAACTTATGATCTTATCCTATTTGATTATTTGTTACTCTATTTTTCACTCACTTATTCAACACATGTACTCTTTCAATATTTTATTGTTTCAATTCTTTTATGCTGACATAGATAAAACTATTCATGTTATTTTATGAGAGCTGTGATTAAATTGTTTTGTCCATGTGTAGTTTATAATTCTCACACTGAATATTATATATCATATTGTGATATATTTGAAGTTATTTTATATTGTCTCTGCATCTTACTTTTGGATACAGATTATGACTCACATTAGTGAAGTTAACTTAGTGATTCACAATTTGAATCTCAGTTTTACATTTTTTTGTTGAGGAATATGTGGTGTTTATAGTGGCTTAAGGTTTGTTTTTAGATAGTTTTGAAAATTAGATTATTTCAATAATCAATTATTGTTACAGTTGATTGTGGTTAGAATCAATATTTGTTACAGTTGATTGTAGTTAGAATCAATATTTGTTTGGGTAGTTGATTGTAATTAGAATCAATATTTTTTTGGGTAATTATACTGCAAAGTAGTATTAAGATGATAAACATTGTTTGAATGCAACACAAAAAATTATTTTCTTTTGTAATAAAAATTAAATGTATCAATGTTTTTATAACCGGATGGATCCTAGAATCCTTCCAGACACTAATTTAAGGTTGAATGGTTTAACTGTGATTGTACCAGTTTAATAATATCATAACTTTATAATGGTGAAAACTAAAACTTACTTTTGTAGGTTCTTAACATTTAATAACAAGTTTATATTTGATATAAAAATGAACATGCCAAATTTTTTAGATCTATCCTTTTTAAGAAAGAAAATTAAAAAGATGTATCAATTTTTTTTCCAGTGATATACTATAAATCAGTTTTTTGTTGGATTTTGACCAGTTTTTAGTTCTTTGATCAGTTTTCTTCAAACCAGTGTTATGATTTATTTAAATGGGGTTACTTGACTACTAATCCTGTCTTACTATTCTAGTTTTAGAACACATGTCTGTATTAAGCAGAATAGGAAAAAACAACTGTTGAAAAATTTTCAAATTCATGAAAACAATTTATTTTTCAGAAATTTTTTCTAAATTTCAGCTGTTGTCCCAAATATCTAGCTTATTTTGCTAACAACTCATTTTTCATAAAAATAGCTGGAAAAGTTTTTCAAACATGGTATCCAAATATTTGAAATTTAGTTAAATATTATCTCTTCATGTTAATACTTCATAATATCTCATCAGTCAATGTATAATGTGTTAATTTTGTTTTCCTTTTCTGATAAAATTGAAGCATTAAGACTTTTATGACGTTTGAAAACCTTTAGTTGCATGCCTTTGAAGCTTTCTTGTCCACATTTCTGTGTTTGTGATTTATGCATTAGAGTTGCCAAATTCTGTTGATTGGTGACGACACTTCTATGTTGTTTCTCAGCAAAAGCTGCTTAACCTTGTAAAGATACAAAATGATGGGACTGTTGACGTTGATCTGGAAAAAGATGCACCTCTTGTATCCGAATTGTTGAAGTTTCAATCTTTTGAAGAGTCAACAACGAGTGCAAGTGTTGTTTCTGAAACAAAAATATCAGCTCCATGGTTACAAATTGTCATGCTTGTGGTTGGGACTAGAGGCGATGTACAACCTTTCCTGGCCATCGCAAAAAAACTCCAGGCATGTTTGTTCCATCCAATTCTTCCTCGTACACATGAGAGCAGAGATGTCAAATAACTGTGATTAGTTTTGTTGCTTATTGTAGTGAGAACAAATTTTTCTGAGAACAAATTTGCTGTGAGAAAGTTAATTTTTCCACCTAATCTAATATTTTGTGCTACATGGGTGTATTTTTGACTTTTTAGTTTGAGGTCATTACTTTCTCCCTATTCAGTGATAAAACCCTTACTGCTTATCCATAGGCCGACTTTGGTTTATACCATTCTTTAGCATGGTCAGGTTTACAATTTGTTTCTATTGTATAGACAGAATGAATAAAATTGTTGATATGTACGTTACTTTATAGGATGCCTAAATGAGAACAAACTCCTGGGAATGATGCACTTTGTTATTGGTTTCCTGTTATTGCCTGAACTTAGATGTTGTGGTTTTGGTATATCTGTTCTTTATGAGCATTCTTAGGAGAAAAGTGATAAAAAGAGATGAGAGAGAAAAGAAATGACACAAAAACTTAATGGGTTTGGCACACAATGTTTCTACTTATGTCCACGAGTAAGTATTTGATTTTGGTGTGCCTAAAAGCTTCACAAGGTGTTACTTATATAGCAATATAGAAAACAATATCTTGAATACTATATCATACAATGTGGGACTAAAACCAAGCTCTCCAATACTAATAATTCTCCAATACTAATAATTCTCCACTTGATTTACATCATCATCTAGTGTAGTGCCTTCATCATTAATTATACTCGAAGGCTAATTGAGGCAATACGAAGTCTCAACTAATCCGTTGTAGTCTTGGACAACATAGTAGTTTTGGACAACATAGTAGTTGGATTCTCTAATTCTGAGTTCTTCAACAATGACAAATCTCCATCACTTATCAAGTCTCTAATACAATGATACTTTAATTCAATGCTCTTGCATCTAAAATGAAGGATTGAATTTTTGCAAGACGTATAGCACTTTGATTGTCACTATATAATAGAGAATCATCTTGCTCCTTCCCTAATTCTTTGAGAAGGTTCTTTAGCCCATATCATCATCTCCTTGGTTGCTCCCGAGATAGCTACATACCTAGCTTCATGGGTTGAAAGGGAAACTTTGCCCTGAAGTTTAGACAACTTCACAATACCTTCTAGTCTATGTTTGGAGATTCTCATACTAAGTATTTGTTTGACCGGACCAAGATCCTTCATCTCAAAGCTTCTTGCCAATTGTTTTTTCAACATGGTAACTTCGTCTTATTGGACCTTACAATTAATATGTTGTCAAGCTATATCTTTCATACTAGACCAAGATCCTTCTAGTCTTCAACGTGTTGAGTTGCTCATAAACTCATTAAACTTCTTGTATGTCATTTTGATGCTTGTTTCGAGCCATACAAACTTTTATGAACCTTGTGTACAACATTCTCCATGCCTTATACTCCAAAACCGTATGTATGTGTCACAAAGATGTCTTCCTCTAGATCCATGTAGGAATGGAATTTTAACATCTAATTTCTCTAGATGAAGATTTTCTACGATTACAACATTCTAGAAAACTTTGATGGTAGTCATCTTGACAATAAGAGAAAAAATACCTGTGAAGTCTATTCCTTGGTTTTGTTGAAACCCTTTTGCTAGAGTCTAACCTTGTATCTTCTGTTGCTACTAGGTTCTTTTAACCTATAGACCTACTTGTTTTGCAAATCCTTCTTTCCTTCTGGTATCTTGAGTAAAGACCAAGTTTTATTCTTCTAAAGAGATTTAATATCATCTTTCATTGGTAGCTCCCACTTATTAGCCATCCCTCGTATAGCCTTAGCAAAATTTGCTAAATCACTAGCATCAATTAACAAGTAATGCAATGAAGGATAATACCTTTGTAGTGTTACTATCATTCTAGCCAATGTGGAATCTCAAGTTAAAGTAGATCCACTACCTTAATATACTATCATAACCATTTGGAGTCTATCCCAGTTGAGATTTGGGACCATCATGCTACTTGTTATAGGGTCCCCCTCATTCTCACACTCGATGTCCTTGGCATGAGCGAGTGTGTAGAAGATCTTATACTAGCTAGAGATAAGACCAAATTATATTATGTAAGTATGGACAAACCTTCTTTTGTAGGATTGAGTTAGACCTAAATTCCACTGCTTTGATATGGTATTAGAGCCATTAAGGGACTATCCTAATTAAGATTTAGGCCTATCCTACAACCTACTATCTGGCCCCACACTTGATGTTCTCAATGTAAGGAAGTGTGTTGTAAATCTCACATTACCTAGAGGTAAAACCAATTTAGAGTACATAAGTGAGGTCAAACTTCACTTTATTGAGCTGGTATTGTAGAGTTGAGTTAAACTTAAACCTTACTGCTTTATTATTATTAACTTCTTTTTTACATTATATACTCACATTCATTGAAGTTTTCCCTCTTATGTCATTCCATTTTACCATTGCATTTCTTACATATAGATCTTGACTTCTCATCTGTATGTATCTTTCAATAAAATGCCAGTGGCTCTATTGTTAATGTAACAAAAAAGCATGGCATATTATCTAAGTATTTAATTCAGTTGTATTCATTTTCACGTTTTTGTGATGCAAGTATATTCCCCTGATTGCTGTCATTAGATTTGTGCTACTTATCTTATTTGAGAGACTGCAAAATCATTATTTTCCAATTACTGTTAATGAGTTTTATATCAAAACCATTAGCTTTACTGAATTCTCACTTTTTTGCAGGACTATGGTCATCGTGTTAGGCTGGCAACACATGCTGATTTTGACACATTTGTAAAGAGTGCTGGTGTTGATTTCTATCCGTTGGGTGGTGATCCTCGTGCTTTGGCAAGATGTAAGAGGTTCCTTTTTAATGCTGCCCTTAGTATCTAATAATTTTCATTTTCAGTATATACTTTGTTCATAACATGCCAAGACCTTCTCTTTAGCTCTCGTCTAGGAGTACCAGGCTTGATGCATGTATAATATGGTTGATGACACTATTAATGAATTTAGGATAGCCTTTTATACTATCTTAGAGTATGAGTTTAAGGCTAATTAAATCCTAGAAAATTGACATGTAAGGTGAGTTACTCTCATTTTCAGGTTTTATTTCGAATTATTGATAAAATTAACTTTAGAGGTAGTTAAAAGCTGAACCTAGCTGAGTTGAGAATCTTGTTGAAACTGAGAGCTAGGTGAAAGTTGAGAAATTATGCTAGAATTGTTTGGTAAAGCTAGTTGAAATTTATAAATGAAAAAGAAGGGCATGATTAATTATTGAATTAAATGTTAATATTAGGTAATTACATATTTTCAATAATTATAAATTTATATTTATTTTAATTTTTTTATAATCGATTTTTTTATACAAGTTAAATTTCAAGTAATATTTGTGTAAAAGATAGTTATTATAATTTGAAATAGTTATCATTTGTGAATAAAACAATATTTTATTAAAAATAAAAAAAAATTAAAACAATAATAAACAAGTTTGTTATTAAATCAATAATAAACAAGTTTGTTATTAAATCAATAATAAAAAACAGTAAAGCAACAACCTAAAAATCTTAGTCATAAACAAGTGTTGGACATTAGGGTTCCTATTATTATTTTAAGGGTAAGATGGTAAAATATAAGTGTTATCTGGGTTTGTTATTTTGAAATAGTTATTAGTAGTATTGAAATAAGCTAAAAGCTATTAAGAAGGCTACCTTGCTGAAATAATTTTATCAAAATTTTATGTACTAGTTTCATCTATTATCTAGATGAAATGTTTTATCAAATGCACACAAAGTACTCTATAAACACAATTAATCATCCTAGTGAGTGAATTCCTTATTGTCTCTAAGATATTATGAAAAAATTGAAGGCATTCTTATTTATTTCTCCGCCATTGAATAGCTAAAGATTTGCAAGATTATGACTGCCATATTTAGCAAGCTAATGCTCACAGTGAGTGGTTTTCTAGTTTTGACACTGTTGTAGTAATCATGTTCTCGGATTAGCTTCAAAAGTAATAAGATTATTTCGATAATATATTTATCTATAATTGATTAAAATAAATCAATTATATGAACTAAGTTTTATGTTTAGATGTGTGGGGTCAAAAGCGATTTTATGATAATCTTATTTGTTTGAATTGTCTAAGAATCACTTTCTCGTGATGAAATTATTCTTAAGTTATCTGTAGTAGTTGGTATTTATATAAGCAATATTGGGGAATAAAATGGGATTGAAAAAGTTAGCTAGAAAGTAATTTGACCGTTTTTTATAATCCTAAGCTTCAAACTTTTGCCTCTGATGAAAAAGTTTTCTTTGTTAAATACTCAAGTGTTGTATTAAAAAATCCATGTCATTGCCAAGGGCCATCTACCATCTACCAAAAAAAAAACATACCAGCATTACATCTAGTAACACTATCCACTGATGTTGGACCACTCTCAAATGTGTAGTGAAAATATCTCGAAATGAAGGATGTATTGAAAATTTCATATCAACTAAAGATAAGTTCAATTTACACTATATAGGTGGATACAAATTTTATTTTACAAATAAGTTTTATAGAATTGAGTTAGGTTTAAAATCTATTTCTTAAGAAAAGGCTTCCTCAAGAAATTTTACCATTGCTAAGCACCACATTTTTCTGTCTTATTTGTTTTCTCTGTTCATTGTATATCTTCACTGAATGTTACATATAAAACTAGTAATGAACCGTGGTTTGAGAGTTTAAGTTTTTGGGATTGATGGTCCTTGCGATATATTTGAGCCTTTATGACTAATTTGTCATTGTTTCAATCCTTGCCACTTATTCTTCAGATAAAAAGTTGACTTTGAACTTTTGATAGGATGGGCCAATACATTGTTCGTGCTTTAAGCATTCTTAGGGGGGTTCATCTTAGATACAAATCAAGAATAAGCCTTCACGTATTTTAAATTTTGTAGGAGGGTGTGTTTTTGAAGTATGCTAATTGAGTTATTTCTGTAATAGATATGGTGAGGAATAAAGGTATAATCCCATCTGGTCCAACTGAAATATCTATCCAAAGAAAGCAGCTAAAGGCTATTATTGATTCTCTTCTTCCAGCATGCATAGAACCTGATTTGGAAACTGGTATTCCTTTTAGAGCTCAGGCTATTATAGCCAATCCTACAGCATGTGGTGAGTTGTTAGAACCCAGCAGATTATTGCATTGTGTTTTTCATTGTTTCATACTTTGATTACTATTGATTTATCTTTCGATTTATTCCCTTACTTATGTATTACTTCAATTAATATTAGCATTAATTGTTTAGTGGACCCTACTATTCTTCTTAAGGAAAAAAGGATGCTAAAGTTAAATTTTGAAATTCAAGGGCGATCATTTTAAAAGTGTGAAGAACGATGCTATTGTTTTTCTCAAATTCATGAGAGTGATTGAATTGCACTACATTTTCCCCCTAGCGAAGATTCCTTTCATTTACAACAGTATGCTTGTTTGTTTGTTTGTTTCATAGCTCTTTTTTGTAAATGGGTCTGGTGCAGGGGCTTTTGAATAAAATAGATAGAATTAACTTATGTTTTGTCTCGCAGGACATACACACCTTGCTGAAGCCCTCGGGGTGCCCCTTCACATCTTCTTCACAATGCCTTGGACGTGAGTTTAAATTGTTTATAACCTTTGAGTAAAAACTTTACCTTAGAGCACTTTAAATATGAAAAAAATAAAAGGTTTGGTGAAGAGATAGAAGTGTGTACTTCCTGATTTTTCACTTGAATTATTAAAATTCAAAACAAGCACACATACCTTCTAAGAAATTAGAGCAAGAATATAATGTTTCAAATATTCAGGTAAATGCAACATTTTCCTATCAAATAATTGCCTATTATCCAATGGTCAAGGAAAGTGCATTATCTTTCAAGGACTACAAAATGGGTCCGCTTGAAAGATGTTCTTCGGTTTGATACATAGATCAAAGAATATAGAAGTGGATAAAAATGGGAATTCTTTTAATCTTTAATTGCAAATATTTGAAGGCCAGATCATCATTGACATACCAGTCCATGAAAATACATTTCTCATAAGTGAACTTGCCATTTTGAAAGAGAGAAGGGTGTTGAGGGTTTAATTTTGATATAATCTTAGTGTAAATTTATTGTACTCTATCATCTAATCATGAAGTTGTTATTACAAAGTTTTAAAATGGCTTGAAAAGTTGATGCTATTTCTTTTAAAACCTATTTTTTATAATTATTTCAAAATTCCGAGTTAGCTTCTTACATATAAATTTTTCAATAGGCAGGCCAACATATGAGTTTTCACACCCTTTGGCTCGTGTTCCTCAAAGTGCTGGTTATTGGGTATTTCCTTTGCCGAAATTAGTTTCTGTTATGTGAATTCAATTGATTTTTGTGAATAAATTGCTAGAATTATTACCTATAAACCCCTTTCAATATGTCCTTGCCTTATCCAGCTGTCATATATAATTGTGGATGTACTGATATGGTGGGGAATACGAGGACTCATCAATGACTTCAGGAAAAGAAAATTGAAGCTTGCTCCTATTGCATACTTCAGTATATACAATGGATCAATTAATCATTTACCTACTGGCTATATGTGGAGTCCTCATGTGGTTCCAAAACCAACTGGTATGTAATGGTACTAGACAGTAGCTTAATGTTTTCTTAAGAAAGTAGCATAGTCTTTTGATTTTATCCTTCTGTATTTTTTTAGTGAATAATCTTTTTGTTATTGAAGTATGAGATAAACCATAAGTTGTTACAGTCAAGGGTAGCTTCTGTCCTTGAGTAATTCTGACTTGGAGTTGCTTAAAGATGGATAGTTTGAATGTGGATATATTAAGTTTTATGTTGTAATTAATAATTGGTTCATTTTTTTCGCATTACTATATAAATTTTTATAATGGGGCTGACAATCTGACACTAAAGTTTAGATCATATTATGATGTTGAGTCCAGTACATAATTTCTAGATAATGTTTTTACATAATACCTGATAGGGGTTGGAAAGTGTACGAGAGGAGAAGGAAGGTACCAAACGGTGCAGGACCGAACGGTTAAGGGCTTTGGGGGAAAGGAGCCGACCGGTTGAACAATGGAAATATTGTGTCTCGGTTTGGGAAGGTTTCTGTTGTAAGGGGGAGAGGGTCAGAGCCGCTATAAATAGAGCTCCATAAACTTTGTGTAGGGTATTGAGTGAATTTTTTGTGTAAAGACAGGCTTTGGCCTGAAGGAGGGAGATTAAGCTCTCGTAGGACGATATACTAGTACATTGATTCTTTGGTTAATACAGACCTAGATTCTTTCTGTTCTGTTTCTTGCGTTTGTGTTTGTGAGAGTGTTTTAGTGGTTTCTTTTCCCCGAAACCTAACCATACCTGTCGTGAAATGCTTAGTATATTATACAAACAGCTTTTACACTTTTACTTTCTGTCCTGAGTGTGTTCCCTGCACTAATGTCTTTTGAAAAATTGCAGACTGGGGCCCCTTAGTTGATGTCGTTGGTTATTGTTTCTTGAACCTTGGCTCAAAGTATCAACCACAAGAAGATTTTGTCCGATGGATTCAAAAAGGACCAAAACCTTTATATTTTGGGTTTGGGAGCATGGTATGATAATTTCACTTGCAGATATTCTCTTTAAATGAACAAATTGTGTTTTTTTTTTCAGTTTAGTCCTTTTGTGTTTGGAGAACATCTACACTCAGGGTTTTAATATTTGCTACTACTATCTTGTGAGCTCCAAGCTTTCTTCAAAAGAAAATAAAGCAATGGACTAAGAAGCACGATTACAATTAAATTAAAAATATAAGATACGTGTATATATACATACATATATATACATGTATGTATGTATGTATGTATGTATGTATATATATATATATATATATATATATATATACACACACACAAACACATTGTAAGCTTAGTAAAAAGTAATAATTATACTTGCTAATACTTACTGAAAAAAAAAATGTTTCTTTGGTTCATCATGAGATCCAACCCAAGATAAGGTATCTCACATGTGTCCTCATGCATCCGTATCATGTGCGTGGTGGAGATTTTGCATGAAAGAATTTATAGGTTATGTTTGCCCTCATGGCCTTATAAAAAGTGTGCTTCTGTCCGTTTAATGTAAAAATATTCAAATTTCTCGCAATTCACAACCTGTCAAATTAGTGTTTTATATGAATTATTGGCTGATTTGGAATATTGATATTAGAGTTGATTTGCATTTATTCAATAGAATCGGTTTAATTATTTATCTTGTCACCATTAACACTTTCGGGTATACACTAAAGCAAGAAACTAGACATATTTATACCTTTGTATATCATTATCAAAATTTTAGAATGAAATTCCGTAGTCCTCTAATGAAAGTATTCTTTCACTTTATTAGCCTCTTGATGATCCTAAAAGAACTACTGATGTCATAGTGGAGGCACTGAAGGATACAGGACAACGAGGAATTATTGACCGGGGCTGGGGGAATCTAGGCAATTGTAAGTATTTTCCTTCAATTTCATTCTATCACCATTTGTTTCCTTTTTCTCAAATAATAATTTGCTATATAAATACCTTTCCTCTATTTGTATGACTGTAATACATTATGTTTTACACTATCATAGGGTTATTCTTCTTTTCCATTTACTTTCCCTTACTTGGTTACCAGGTTAAAAATTCTTGAATTTTCTACAGTCTTAGAAGCTTTGATATTATGTTAAATTTCAGCTTAAAACAAATTGAATTTAATTGAAGTTGCTCAAACTTTCCAACATAGGGGGATCTTAGAGGTACGATTATTAGAAAGACTGAGTTTGTGCTAAAATAATGACATCATACTTTCTTCTTCGAAGATTATGCAACTTCAATCACCGGGAAATAACAAAGAGGACCCAAATCTTTCATTTCAAGTTGTTTTGCCAATAACAATTTTAAATCTGAAATCTCATATACATCACCTCTTGTGATTATAATGGCGTCAACATATAAAGAGAGAATAATACTATTATGAGAAGTTGTCTTTATAAACAAAGCAGAGTTACAATCACTAGAACAAAATCCAAGAGATCCAACAACTATGTAGAACTTCTTAAACCAAGTATGGGGAACTTGTTTGAGACCATAAAGAGTCTTTCTTAACTTATACACCTCCCTTGGATTATGAGCAACCCCAGTACGAGGTATCATGTAACAAAGACAACAAAAATAAGAGTAAGAATGGTAGTAATTGGCAACTGGGGAAAAGGTTTTGCATAGTCTAGACCGTATTTCTGAGAGAATATTTTAGTGTGACTAAATGAGTTTTGTAATGCTCATAAAACCTATCTGACTTTGTTTTAATGTTGTACACCCACCGAGAGCCAATGGCTAATATTCCTAGAGGAAGAGCTATCTTATATAAAGTACAAAATTTCTTTTGCATAGTTTGTTGCCAAAGTGGATCAAGGACAATCTCTGGGTAGGAAGAAGGCTCCGACAAACTATGAGTTGTGGTTAAGAAGGAAGCAAAGGAAGAAGAATAAAAAAAAATTGGTGGTTGAGTGGACTTACGAACATAACAAGTCACTAAATCACTTTGATAACATATTAAGGTAGTGAAATTTAATCCTAACTCAGCCTTAGAAAATTGACTTGTTCCATAAAGTAAAGTTTTTACCTACTTAGTCAAATTTCTAAACAATGCAGGATCTCTCTCTAACACACTCCTGAATGCCAAGGACATTGGGCGTGAGAATAAAGGAGAGACCCAAGGTGGTGAAATGATAGGCCCAACTAATATTGGTAGGATAAGTCATTGATAAATTTTGATATCATATTAAAAATGTGGAATATAAGCCTGCAAAACTACTTTAGTATCATGAAGTTTGTATTCACATCTGTATTATAATTTGGTTGTATCTCTAATCGATATAGGATCTCCAACCATCCTAACATAAAGTTTCAAGATACAAAGCACAACAAAGATATATGTGTGTGTGTGTGTATATATATATATATATATATATATATATATATATATATATGTTATTCATTTTAGATATTGAATATTCACTTGCATTATGTTTTCCATTAATCAGTGGCAGAAGTTCCAGAAAATGTTTTCGTGCTAGAGGAATGCCCTCATGACTGGTTGTTTCCCCAATGTTCTGCTTTGGTAAGTTCCAATTTATATTTTCTTGTGGCTGATTTTGAAAAAGAAAATAAATACTTTAGTGCCCCCCGGAGGGAATTTCCCTTTTGATTTACAGCTCAGTCTTTAGGATATGATTCTTTCTTAATATTGAGATTAGGTAGGAAATATGCACTTACATGTCTGATCACAAAATAAATAGTTAACTGAGGATCTTTTGGCACAAATTCAGGTGCATCATGGTGGTGCTGGAACAACGGCTACAGGACTGAAGGCCGGGGTAATGTTCAGTTCAATTGTGTCATAAAAGAAGTGTTTTTCATTAATTCAAGGATATGTATTGATGTCTTAGCATTTTCTTTTAACTGTTTCACTGGTCATTGTAAAAAAAAATATTTACTTTATTTTTTCTCATTCTTCTTTTTTACTAATGTCAATACCATAACTTGCAGTGTCCAACAACCATTGTTCCATTCTTTGGAGATCAGTTCTTTTGGGGAGACAGAATATATCAGAGAGGGCTGGGACCTGTTCCAATTCCTATATCTCAGCTTAGTCTTGAAAATTTAACAAATGCCATAAAATTCATGCTCCAGCCAGAGGTAACTTCCAATTCTATGCAATGTGCATCCCTCCTAATTCCAAAATATGTGAATAATCCTTAAATTTAAATATGGAAAATCTCGTTTACCCCCCTTTGATTTGATTTTTCAATCAATGTCCTTCGTCTGATGTAATTTTGGAACTTGATAATCTGATTGGCCTAGTTAATTGATGGTTATCTACACCTTGTTTATGCAGAAATGAGCGTGTGTATGTTTTCATACATTGTTGAAAGTAATAGCATATACCAAAATTCTTATAAGACTTGATAACGAATTGAAACAAACCTGAAAAACATAGTTGGGGAAGCATGAACATTAAAGGACATGTAATTTACAGTTGTTTTCACTTTTAACCCATGGCTTCGGATATTTATAATTATGATATAATAATACTATTGGTTTACAAAGTCTTTGTAGTAATGGATGAAAAATCTTCAGGTAAAAGCACAAGCAATGGCAATCGCAAAGTTGATAGAGAATGAAGACGGTGTTACAGCTGCAGTTGATGCGTTTCACCGCCATCTACCACCAGAGCTACCACTACCATCTCCATCTCCTGTGGTGGAGGACCATGCAAATCCATTGCAGTGGTTTTTTGTCCAACTAGCAAAGTTGTGCACTTTACCTTGTGGGAGTGTATAGTTTTTTTGCTTTTTTGACTTTGAGTATTCTTTTTTATCTTCTATTCATTACATAATTATATTTTATAGGAGTTTTCCCTTTTTTTAGTAATGGAAGCAGTGTTTAGCTTAGTATATTATTCCATTCATTTCTGTCAAAATCTCTTCTTGTGAGGTTTGACTAATAGTAGTAATCTTGAAGTTGAGCATCTCATTTTTGAAGTTAACCATTTAAATCATCTGCACATGGAATAGTCCATTTGCATAAAAATTTAGTCCTTTTGTTTATTTACAGTAATTACTACTAATCATAATCAAAATTACCCAATAATAATAAAAGAACTTCTCAGGCCAAAACTGTCTTTGAAAGGGTATTTATTGAGTCCTATGAATTAGTGGAACATGTTCATCCATACTTGGTATAGATTACTGGTAGATGTTGTAAGTTGCTTTGGGGTTGATGTGACAGTATATATACGGATACAAATACAAGTTCCTAATTTTATGAACTGCTTAGGGGGTGATGTGACAGTATATATGTACAGATACAAGTTCCTAATTCTGTGAGCACGTTTGAACAGTGACAAGAGATGAGCGTGTGAATTATGATGAATAGAGTGTTTCCTTTTCTGTCGTTTTGATAATAAGGGATACTGTTTGCGATCTATTTTTTTCTCTCACCTTTTTTCATTTTATTTCTTTTATTTATGTTTGATTTTTCAATCAGAAACTAAATTGGAAAACTATATAAAAATGTGTTTTTGAACTCATTTTCTTAACTTTCCGAGAACTTATTTCAAGTATACATTTGGGTACTTAAAAATATTTTTTCACACCAGGTTATATTAATAATAAATAAAAGAAAAATGATAATGTCTCCTGAAATAATGTTTCTAAAAGAATGCTATAACGCCTGCTGAAACAAAATCTAAAATAATAATATATATATATATTATATATATATATATATAAGATCATAGTATTGTTTAATCTAATGATCATAATAAATAATTTATGAAACTATTATCAAAAGTGAAGATGAGAAGTAATTAAGTCAATAATAATAATAATTTATCTTTGGCTACAATTCATCAAATGTGCGATTAATTAAAAGTAAACATCATTTATTAAAAATTGATAATAAAAACAAAACAATTTTGATAAAGATAATTTTAAGTTGAAACTTCGAGTTATATGAAGAAGATAAAAAGAAAAACAATTGTTAGGAGTGTTATGAATAGAGTCAAATAATTGTTAAATTATATTGGTGCTGTGAGAATATAGAAGTTTTGTATTGGTTTATGTTGTGGTTCAAAGTTTAGCTGATTTTAAGTCTGGAGTTGAGTTTAAGTCAGGAGTGAAGTGTTGTTTTGAATTACAAATGGATTTGTATTGTAGTTCGTTTGATTCTCTCAAGGTGATTTCGACTAATGAAAAAGCATATCTTCTAAGTGAAAGGTTTAAGTACGCAAAAACAATTTCTAAACGAATATTGAAATGGTCCCCCCCCATTCTGTTAGCATTGAGTTTGTTAGTAAGATCATTCTAAGAGCAATTGGTTAATTTGCTTACGTTTTAGGGTACTCATTGTGAGGTAAACTTCTATTGTTGAATGCTTAGTTATTGATTGATTAGTTTTATCACGACGGTATATAACTCACCAGTGTTAAGTCGAGTAAAGTGAAGAGGATCATGATGGAAGTTTGAAAATACCAAGTTCAGTCAACAATCCAACAAGTTGAAAGATTGTAGAGCTTTTCTCGACATAACTTTTAATTTTAACTTGATGGATGATATAGAGACTCTAGTTAGCTGACTTTTCATAAGATTTGAAATGGGACCAATAAAACCAATTTGCTTCAACTGAAACAATAATATCTTGAATTCTAAAAATTAAAATACATAATACTGTGAATTTGTTGAATGGATGAAGTGATTAAAATATTTTAGATTTCAATTTTTATTTTTGGATAAACGTTAAACTCAAATCTATTTTTGAGCTTGAGTTGAGTTAACTCGACCTTCAATCCAATACAAGTTATCTTGATTTCGACTTGGATCGACTTGGTTTGATATTTGGTTCGAGATGACTTAGCTCGACCTTCGACCTTGACAGATTCAGTGTAGATTCAACTCAACCTTCAGTTCGGATACACTCGACTTAACTTTGGTCGAACTAACTCGACTTGATACTTGACCTAACTCGGCTCGAATCTTCAACCCTAATCGATTCGACTTAACTTTCAAACTCATATCGATTCGACTTAACATTTAGCTCAGTCGAAAGCCAATTGTTTCCATATACATATACTTGTATTTATATATGCATCTTTACTGTTTTAAATATTAGTTAAATATTTTTTTATATTAAATAAAATCACAAATAAAATATTATTAAGTACCTAATGTGAAAATTATATATATATTTTTTCTCCACTATCAAATATAAAAAAAATTATAAAATCAAATAAAAACAGAAAATAATAGTTGGATAAATGTTAAATATAGAAAACATTACCCAATAAATAAATTACGAAACTAATGACAAGAAAAAAAAAAGTAAGATTTTTAGATTAGTTAAAAAATAAAAATAAAGGTTAGTACTGATAAGGTATGGGGAAAATACGTACATACTTATTCCATATTTAAGGAATCTTAAGAAAATATTTTCTAGATACCAAAATAAAATACACAAATTTTGGATATTAAATTTATAAATATATTAAATTTTTTTAAAAAATACTTTTAAATTAATTATATTCGTTTATACATGTAGTGATTCACTGAGTGCTAACGATACGAATTAAAAAATCAGTATCACACTACCTATATTCGTACCTATATAATTAAAACGGGTTCAAATAGTCTTAAGTAGAAACATATTAATTTGTCATATCTACTTCTAACAACGCTATAAGAGTTAAAAATGTTTTATTATTATTACTTATTATTATATAAAGAAAATTAAGTTACTTTACAAATAATTTAACAAGTATTATTGGGGATATAAATATAATTAAATAAGCAACTAATTCATAAAGATCATAAAATATTTAGGTTATTTTAATTAATAATAGATACAATAAAATTTTATTCTAAAATATATCTTTAGTACTAAATGAATAAAGTGTCGGAGTATTTACTTTTTATAGAGGAATGAATACTTAATAATAGAAAGGAAAAATAATGCATCTAAATTTAAAATATATAGCAATAATTTTTAAACAGGATGTTAAAAAAAATAAAGTATCTAAAAGTCATTGCTGCTTATAGAAGTTTGCTACAAACTACATTCCTTTATCAAGTAAGTGTCTTCTAGAATTCCCTTTAACGTGTATTCCTCTTTGCAAAATCTGCTTTACGTTTTCAATATCTTTTTATATGTTAAACCAAAGATATGAGATTGAATAAAAAAAAAAATATAAAAGTCCACCCAAATATTGGGATCCTGCCAATTTCCAATAGGACAATAAACAATGTTATACTTTTGGTACAAACTATAAACACAATTATCAATATATGTTTTTTTTTAAATAATATGTTTATAACTTGTTTTTGGTCGGCTATTGTATATTACTTAATAATGTTTAGAATAATATATGGTGTTTCATTTCCAATAATGATAACTAATTTTGACTTAATTTGGTCCCTAAAAATTCACTTGTATACGTAATTGATAAAGCATTCAATTTATGATAAATTATAGTTGTTTTAATATGAAATCAATTACTTTCCACCATTAACAAATTTAGAACTATATTATTATTTTATGATTAAACAACTATTTTCAAAAATAAAGTAGTAGTTTTTTTTCAATACACTGAAAAGAAAAAGGAAGTAAAATGAACCATAAAAGACAAAAACATAAAGCTTGGTAAATATTAACTAATGATTAACCTGATAAAATAATTTTAAAAAAATTAAGATCATTAATATGATAAGAACGTCTCCGACAATAAATACGTCTTCCATCAGCAAATCTTTGAAATTCAGAAAACTTCTCTCCATCGTATTCTATCACATAGTTAAATCATATATGCTTTGAAAACAAGAGGTCGGCGACACAAATAGTTATTATCATTACTTGATCTAAGAAAAGAAAAAAAATTAAGTCATTATCTGGTTTGTCACGTTAGATATCTATTTCAAAATATTCATTTAAAAAAATGTGAATACTTATAATATTTGCATATATTAAAAAAAGATTTAATACCTCTTTTTGTCCTATTTATAAGGGAAATGTTCAAATTTCGTCCTACCTTTTCAAAAAGTTTAATGTGGTTCCATGTTGTAAAAAAGTGTCCAATTTAATCTTTTTGGTCACGCGCGTTAAATATTTAACAATTCTGTGACAGCGTGGACTGATGTGTGCAACGTGGCTTTTACCTTCGTAACGTGACAGTGACAGTGTTTTTCATTAACTGAGAATGTGGCAGTGGGCACTATTTAAAATTGTGAGTGTTAGGTTTGGTTTGGGTAATTCGAAATCGCGATTTGGGGATAAGCATTTTGAGACAAACAACTTTGAACTGTTGAGATCAATGGTACTGGAATTTTTCAGACATGATTTCAGTGGCGGTCCTGTTTGTTTACTAGCTAATGGGGGCACATGAGCACAATACTCAAATCTTACTCTGCGTTCTTTCTTTCGGCTTTCCTTTCTCAATGTATTGGATTTTTTCAGACATGATTTCAGTAAGGGCACGTGAGCAGAACGCGTGGAACCCTCTTCTTTTGGTCAAAAGGGTCAAGCAAAACTGGACTTTAGCCATACCAAACAAGGCCTTCCTTTTGGCATATTTATATGCAGCAACTGCAACACCTTCTTGTAAAAAGCACACCTGAGCCGAGCCATAGTAGAAAAAGACTCTTGTTTTAGAGGAATCTACCGAACCAACTACACTAAACTTTTTTAGTAACTCTTCCTTGGATGGAAGGTGAAATTCTGGGGAATCCATGTGAAGGGATTTACAACAAGAGGGGACATGCGTTCTTGATAACTGTCCAGCTTTTGAATTGAATTTCGAAGAAGCAATACCAGAGGAAAGGGCGGAGTGCTTATGAGATAGAGGCATACTTACCTTATCCCCTACTAAACAACCCTCAGAAAATAATTTCGTTCCTTCAGACTTTTCTGAACTGGGAGTCTTTGTAACACTATTGCAACTCATTTGCAGACTTTCTTGGTAAAGAGATCTTGAAGGTGAAATCGCG